TACTTGACCAGATAATATTCAGTACTATAATAAAGATGTAACGATTTTCTAGCTGTCAAAGTATACGAAATGTATTTCCAGAGTTCCCGGTACACATCCGGTTAGTAATTAAGATATCTGTTATTTAATATCAACGTTGCATAATATTATTTCTACTAGCATCATTTTGTCCGAAAGTTATGAATGTTTATGGCATACAAATATAAACATTATTCAAATTCTTGTAAATATTTTTGTATGTTTATAAATAAGTACACTCTTGCCATTGGTATTGATTAAAATGAACACGGCTCAAGAATTGATGGCCAGTTTTTAAGTTCTTATCGGTAAGTTTAATAATTTTGAATTGGAAGTTTGTTGACATACTCTGGTTAACTTTTTCATATTGTATTTGAAAATTAAACAATTGTAAGAGAAAGAAGTCTTTATTCAATTTTTTTTTTTTTTTTTTTTTTTTTTTTTTTTTGAAAAATTAATTTAAAAATGTGGTTGTATGTGAAACAAGGTCTTTCATGACTAATCTAGTTGATCAGAAACATGTATTATTATACCTCTATTAAGAATACTCAAATTTGATTGGCTTTTTAGAAGGCTTTTAAACTCAATAATGACTCCAAGAAGTACCGTTTACAGCAATAATGACCTAGGAATCATTGCACGTGGGGTATAATGACCGGTCAATAAAATTAATGACCGCTAAAAATGACCTGTTAATCCAAATTCCATTCAAATTAAAAAAAATATGCATACAGTAATGATTGTACATTACAAAAATTGCCGTTATAAAAATATGTATAGTATTTTTAGGATACGGAACACGATTGGCCTTTAGATGCGTCATAACATTTATCGTTTTCATTGAAATTAACTTTCGTTACAATACAATGTCAAATTCAACGAACGCAGACTCGGCTCTCTTGTACAGTAAAAGTCTGCACCAGATTGTCATTGTAGTCGGGAATGGTATCTGTGAATTTATAAAAATGCAATGTTACTGACAATCACAGAGTGTTTTAATAAATCGGCGGTGCAAAAACTTACAAGACTAGCAGCCGAAAAGTAAACAACTTCACTAGCGAATCCCGATCCCGATGGAACACTGATAACAGTTCGTAGGTCTTATACATGTAATTGATTATTTTAGTAATTAAGCTTACAAAAATTGCCTTAACTTATATCGGTATAATAAAACAATTGATTACCCCTTATGAGTTCAACATGGTAAAATAAGGACCCTCGACCTGGCCCACTCGCTGACCTGACCTGACCTCGGCCGCTACGCGGCCTCGGTCAGGTCAGGTCACCTCGTGGGCCAGGTCTCGGGTCCTTATTTTACCATGTTGACCGCATAAGGGGTAATTAATTGTATATTAAGTACTGAGCATTCCAAAGTTAAGAACGTTACGAGTATAAATGCTTTATTGAATTTCGCTATGGATAGATTTACTAGTGCAATAAACCTATTTATCATTTTACTAAAACTTTGAGTTGATTAGAGATATATTTATTTCCCTTCCTTTATTACACTACAATCCGCCATCGTCAAAATTCCCCAAATCACATTTAATGGTAAAACAGGATATTATTGTTTGCTTTAATATTATTCTAATTATGAACTTTGAAATTCTTATTGAACACTTTTGAAATTACTTGTATTATCAATTTCAAATCTCTGCTTACTTTCAACCATCACTATCCGTTGGCCAAACATCAGCAGCAATTTTTAAGGTGGTAGTATTATAATTACATCATATCATAATAAAAGTTTTTGTATTTTCTGTGCCTCTGATCAAACGGAAAATACAAGAAAAAATCAAATTCAAACAAATTCTTCATCACTATTGCCTCTGTTTATCCATGAACAGAATATGAAGCAGGAATTATCTTCAATTAAAAATTAGATTTCTCTTTTCTCTATATTATAATGTTATATATAACTATATTTTTATATACGAATAACATCACTTTAATATTCATTCGAGACAGCAAACAGGAAGTTTTAAAGTTCTTCTGCTTTATCAAGATTTTATATCTAAAGTTATTCATATATTGTAACATTAAATTAGTTTCATTAGACTGGATGTATCTGTAGCCTTTATTTCGACATTTAGATATCGAAGCCGTATTTTCAGGCATATGTCGAGGGATATATACCAATAAACTAGAAATAAAAGACACCATAGAGTCTGACATATCTGCTTCATACTTGGATGTTTTACTGGCTAAATACCTTAAGGGCCAACTAACAACTTAACTACAAAGTTGTATATGACAAATGCGATGAGCAGCTTTTCCATCGACGACACCGCAGTTATATTCCAATATCACCTGGTGTTTATGTCTCCTAGCTGATTCGAACAGAAGAGCATGTTCTGAATTTATTCAACATTTAATCTAATCTTCTGACAAATAAAATTGATGTTACATGGCTTTCAAAATCTCGTCTAAAATTAGCATTTCCTTAAGTCTATGGTCGATATAATGGCCTGTTGCCAATATACATGTAACCCATCCTTTGGTCATATTTTGACTGAAAGTTGCATTGATTGCTATGGATAAAAAGAGGGTGTTGCAGTTCTTTTGTTATTTTCCCTAAAGTTGTAGCAGTTTAAAAGAAAAATTTTAAGTAACAGGAAACGGTCTTAAATTTTTTCAGATACAACTGTATATACAGCACAGCATAGAACAATATTTAGAAACTGCATATCGTCTTCCAATTTGCCATTAAATGAAATGTAAATTAGTCACATAGCAAAATAAGTCAAGTTTTCTGTTTTTCAGATAGGGAATCCCCTTTGTTCTGAAAAATTGCCTCCTTGAAACAGAATGAATTTGATATACGCATAAAGAGACAGGATTTTTCTTCAAAAGTGCCATTTCCGATTTTTGTTTCAAAGAGGCATATTTTTGAAAATCACAAAAATCGAATAAAAATTATTATCCATCCGAAATACAAAATGTTCACATAAAATAACACATTATATTTCACTGTCGGAGCTGGTCTAGTGGTTAAGCGTGTGGGCTCTATGCAAAGAATCTTTTTCCCGAGAATGAGTTCGAATCCTGGAATGGCTGGTATATACATACATATTTTTTTTCTTATATAATGGAAGTACAATCTAACATCTCTCTTGAAAGAGAAAGAGAGAGGGAGAGAATGTCAGAAAATTAATGGATAATATTTTAAATGCACGCAGAATTAAATTGTTTTCCTTGATATTGTGATCTAAAACTAATAAGACATGTATTTAATGTTATTATTTAATTGCGATGTCTTAAAGTACTATCATTTTAAATAATTTAATTTTTTTCATACGCATTTCGTTTAATAATTGTTCAGTAAATTAGTGGCTCAGATTTGACTTGAAACAACTAAATTGAAATAACTCAATGGAATTTCTTGGATATTGCTTTAACAGCGTGATAAGTGGACACATTTTTATATATTGAAAAATATTAAAGCACGCTGTCTACAGTACATGTACATCTTTCAAAATGATGTGCGAGGTGCACTTGCCATTGATTACCGTCTTCCTTGTTGTGCTTTTTATCGTTTTAACTTTTCTCGTGCAATATGACGACAGTGACCATAGATATGAAAAAAAAGTTTACTTACAGGTCGCCAGTCTATGTTAGGAAAAAAACTTTGCATAAAATAAACGTAAAATGTTAAATGTTTTGTTATAACAAGCTGGACATACCCGTCGTATAAATAAAGTCATCTACGTTGCATTATCTATATTTAGACATAACTCTTCATGCGTCTTGGGTATTTAAATGTCCTTCTCGATATAGGGAATAATCACGAGTTTCTGAAACACCCTATTTCAACAAAAAAAATATTTTATATTTTTACAAAACCATACTTATGAATAGTTTAAATAACATTTTTCCGCTTATCATGAAATGATATGAAAGTCCAATTTAACAATGCGAATTGAGATAAGAGAAAATACAGACTCCTGTAATCATTAGAGATGGGATCAGGTGCCTTTGAGGAGAAAGCATCACTTGTTTCCTTGAGCCCTTGTCTTTTGATCGGGTAAACAGAGTATTCTGTAGACATTCATTATGAAAATAATGGTCGAACAATTTCTTCTTTTTTTTTTTAAAGAAAGAGACATTAGACCTAAATGAAGGGGGCGTATTTCCAAACAAGGTCATAGTATTTACCATAGAATTTGCAAAATGTTGACTTTAAACGATATTGTAGATACCGTTGTGTCATAAACTTATTTGTCAGTACCCTTTCTCGGTTTAGATATGTACATATGTAGAACATGATCTTGGTATCTAATCAACTTGCAGACACGAACTCCATTTACAGGTGGTAATGGTATATTGCGGCATAAATTAGGGACGTTGGCGATAGAGAAGTTGAAATCATCCATTTAATTAATATTTTTTCATCAATGTCTTCTCTGGTAATATTCCACTCATCAATTAACATGTTATGTAAATATGAGGTAGGTTAGAATGAGATTTTATTTCTTTCCAAATGTTTTATTTTTCGGGGAAGCATATCCCAAATTTTTCCCAGTTCACTTCAATAAATTGAAAAATATCACAAATCATTGAATATTACTGCATATCAAGATTTCAATTTCAAATTACACTTTCAGTCGATTTATAATAATATTAATACTAATTCCAAAAGTTCTTTAAGTTAAACGTTAACTTCAAAGAGCCATGGGCATATGGTCTGAGTAAAGTTGACTTTTGTATCATTGTAATTATTCAGCGGTTTTTCTTTTCATATTGTACTCTTCAAAAAGACTAAAGTGAGACAAAATATGTTCTGGACAGAGACATATGACATTAAATATCCATGCTTCTCTCAATATAGTTATATATACATGTAGATCTTTACCGTTTCTTTTCTAAGTACAGGCAGTTTCAAGATTATGTCAAAGAGAATTATAAATCTTTCATTATATTAAGATCCGATTTTAGACACATTTATACAGCATGTCTCTATAAAGAGATTTAGTTTTCCCTACCTTATCTGAGACTCGTCAATGAAATGGCTCACATTCTGCGTGGAGGCTTTTCTACATTGCCTGTGATACTGAGTGACAGACGATGCCTATTTTCCAAGAAAAGCTGTTAATGAGAAGAGATAGAAAGGGATTTTTATACGTACTGGATTTGTTTTCTTATATAGATGCTGAAAGAATGAACAAAGCAAATGATGAAAATTGAAGACATTTCTTTCATTTCTTTACTTGGAGATGACTATATTAAAAAGTCTTACTAATCTTAAGGTGAATTAAACATCTCATTTTACCATTTCAAAAGCTGCAAAAAACTATCATGTTTACAAAGGACCTTTAGTGGGTACTTGAGAACTTTGAAAAAGGTTACTTTAATGCAGTATTTTTCCTGGAGATGTTGACTTAATAAGGGGGTTACAGAACCAGTCATATTTGAATAACCTTCTTTGCATGTATGGTACCCTTATCCTGGTCTAAGTTCGTGTCAACAGTTAATGCAAGTTTAACATGTAGCTAATAAAGAAAAATGAAGTGGATTTTTTTATTATCATTTCTTGGTTAAATTCTTATTTAATAATGCACCAGCAATCACTAAAGCTTGCTAAGTCCAATAAAAGAAATTTCCACGTTATATTATGTATTCATTAATTAAAGTCTCCAAATTTGAGGGGTTAAGTATTGGTTTTGGGTTTATACGTCTGATTGTCACGAAATATTAACTTCGCAATAACTTTGTAACCCTATGGCTGAAATCAGTTCAAACTTGAAAATAGTGTTGCCCGTCAAAACTCAATAATTGACTGAATAAGGAGACATATCTTTTAATTTAAACTAAGCTTACTGTATCATTCTGTAGATCTGTTCTTAATTTCTAATTAATTTTTATAGGAAAAACAAGGAAGAGTATGACGGTTATTTTAAATTATTTATCACTTATTTTTAGTATACTTACGATAAGAAATCAGGAAAAATTTATCCAAATCCGTCTGTTCTTAATTGTTTTTAGATGTAATCATATGACATGTAGACTTTGAAAATCATATTTGCCACGATATGCATGTATTTTAGATATAACACATAGACAATTGTAACGTACTTGCACTAATTAACAAGAGGAAGGAACGAAATATTTATAATTTACATCATTAAATACTCTCAATTGAACATTAATTTTGCTTCCTTTCCTCTCCAATTTTCAACTTAACTGAAAAGTTTAAACAGCTGTAGTAATCCTGCTTAATGTGTAAAAATATCATCAAAGATATATATGTCTACCTGTAATTAAGATTTATGTTAAGCACTAGAAATGTACGTTATCTGCTGATTGTCTGCTCCTCTCACATTTTTTTGGGGGGGAATCTTGTTATTTTTTTTTCTGAAGCGATTTCGATGTTATTTATTAGAGGAATTCTTGCAAATGTCTTAACACTGTCCAGATCACCAACTTAAACGCATGACTATCACTTTGTCATTAAGTGGAAGCAATTTCAAATCAAATTTTCAGGTGGTATTTCACTAGACTGTCACTAAAACGAAAATACTTCTTTGATGAATAGAAAATTGACTCTTTTAATATTCAAGTGTAACATGCAATTTGTAAAATGTAAAGATAACGAACACTGACCGACCTCGTGTGATTATATTATATACAGTGATTATATCTCGCAAATAAACGTAACTGTTTTTGGTCTCGCAAAACCAAGGTCTCTCGAGATCAGAGATTTACAGAGAAGGCGTTAAACAAAAACTTTAAAAGGTAGGATATTAGCAATGCAAAAACTTTTGGCTGCTGATAAATTTCATTTCCTTTCAGAAGCACGAATGTTTCATGATTACATCAAAAAGGAACAGACTATGTATAAGGTTTGCTCAAAGTTTGGCATGAAGTGGAGATTCAACTGTTGTAGGCCCAACACTAACCAAAATTGCCTAGATTTTACTTTAAAATGAATATTGTGACAGTGCATATATTCGTCCTGTACATATTGTCTTCGGCAATAATATGCACCTGCCCTCACTGCTTATATTGTCGTCCATCGACATGTATTGTTACTGGATGAAAATATACATATTGTCGTCCGCGACAATATCTGCATATTCTCACTACACATATTGGCACTTCATGGTAAGGATTACTTCAGGAAGGTTTATCTTTTAGTTTTGTGAATGGAATTTATAAAATATGTGAATCACAAAGACTTATTTCATGAAGCGTGTTATAATAGTTCGAGTTTCTCTTTCTTTATTCATACATGTAAGCACACTAAAAAAGTTGTTCATTTTCAGATTTCATGAGATCAAATGGTCAGTAAAAGACAAATCATTGTTTTTGTGCACAATTTTCGTTTTCAACTCTAAAGAAGCAGCTGCAATGAAATGCCATATCAATATACAAGTTGCATTATGCTTTATGAATAAATTCATAAAAATGCACATAGGGGGCGACCATTTTATTGGGGGGGGGGGCAAATTTTGTCGAGTCTACTTACATGCCTTCGCAGGAAAGAATATTTATTTCTCAGATGACCAAAGTTACCTTACATTCTTCCCGGGAAAAAATTTGCCGCACAGAAATAATCAAGGTCAACTTATTTATTTTCTTCCCAGTGGAGGACAGATGATTTATTTTCAACATTTTCAAGGAGAGATAATTTATTTCCAAAACCAGCCAGCCACCCCCCCCCCTTTCAGAATTAATGGTCTTCCCCTGAAAATCTTTCTTTCTCCCCGACCCCATTAAACATTGGCGACAAATTGTGCCAATGTTCAACATAGTGACATCCCTGTATGCAAGGTATATTTTGTTAATCATTCTCCTGGGACTAAAAAATTGCTGCCGGTGTCAATATGTATGGCGTATAAAACGTTACATTAATATACAAATCTAGTTATATTTGATAAACCTTGTGATTTATATTCAAAATCTTGTTTTCTGATTCATATGTAAAATCTTGTGATTTGAAATGAAATTCTTATTCAAAAACTTGTTATTTATATTTATGGAGTTCCTCATGACACCATCTATGTAGCCTACAGAGACCAGGTTTTCCAACATATTGCTGGAATTCGATAGACACTATTTGTGCTCCTTTATTAATCGACCTGTTTTTATGTTCTTTTAGAACAGGATTTATTTCGGAAAAAAAACTTCTACATGAGAGGAAGAAAACTTCAACTCGACATTCAAATATAACAACGACGTGTTATCAATTAACAATGGTTACTTTCATTCATACGTTGACTCGATATATCCCAGTGAGCTCGAAATGAAAGATACCACAGTGATTGTCACATCTGTTTCATATTTGGATGTTTTACTGACTATAGACGATAAGGGCCAGTAAACAACTATGTTCGACAAACGAGATGACTTCAGCTTTTCAATCGTCAACTTTCCTTATTCATGTAGTAATATTCCACTATCACCTGCATATGGTGTTTACGTCTCCCAACTTATTCGATGCCCTATAACCCATCACTGGGTCGTATTTTGGCTGACGTATATCTACCAATTATTACGCCTTTGTTTTATACTAAATTTGACTGCGGAATATTCCGATTACCTCATCAATACATGTACATAAGGCGGGTGTGACTGGTCGACAGGGGATGCTTACTCCTTCTAGACACCTGATCACACCTCTAGAATCTCCGGGGATCCGTGTTTACAGATTAGTATTATTTACTATTCGCTATCTTCACCTTTTTCATTCAGAAAATACGTGTTAAAATGTCGTTCTTCGTCCTGTAATATATAAGAGTCACCACGAAGCACTCTTATCAGCGTAACGTCATTAACATAAACCTCATAACAATTTGTCAAAAATACTCCACCTCTTCATTTTACACACATACACACAATCTGTTGTACCTTATCCATTATTTTTTTTTTAAAATTCTATACCAATTTACACTTACAACGTAGTTTCCTACCAATTATTTGAGTCAAATTAGTTTGTCGATGTCTTAGAATAGTTTTACTACATGACTCTGCTTTCACAAGCTCTGCAATAGTGAAATGCACATCCCTTTTTAATGACGTTACTAACGGTTATAACAGGAGTTTTACTATTAATCTATTTCCTAGAAGGTCGCCCATCGTCCAATATAGAATTTCTAACTCGGAAAAGTTCCTGTGCAATTTAAATACATATGCACGGCAAACCTCTGATACATTTCCTAATTCCTCCAACATTTTCAGAGTTTGTTACGGAGTTTTCCAGCGTGAAAACACAAACTGTCCCGTGACCGCGATGTAATCCCTCCCATTTTAGTGACTTCCTGTCTTGATTTCTGTTCAACGAGCAATAAACAAGATCTGGAATTGGCATATGAAATGATGTAACCACTTTTGATAAATATAATTAAATTGAATTAAATTAAATTTGATAAATATAATTAAATTGAAATAAATATGAAATGATGTAACCACTTTTGATAAATATAATTAAAAGGTAATATGCCTATTCAAAAACTTGATATTCATATTTGAAACTTGCTTTTTATATTCAAAATCTTGTGATTCATATGCAATATTCTTTAGATTTTTTCTGTGAAATCTGGTTGTCATTTGAATACAATATAAATCATAAGATTATCGAATAAAGCTCACAAGGTCTTGCATATAAATATATGTAACAAAATTTTTTTAATAGAAATATCTATTTTTCGCATTTAAATCAAAGACTATCGCATATCATTCACAAGATTATCTAATATGAATCACAAGTTTCTTGCATATTAATGACAAATTTTCAAATATAAATACAGAATATCGCATATTAAACATAATGTTATCTTCTATAAATCACATTTTTTTTCATAGAGATAACTTTCTTTCAAATATGAACATCCCCTTTTCGCATTTAAATCACAAGATTATAAAAATAACAAATAATGTCATATGAATCATCTGAATCAAGCCTCTGTATATAAATTACAATATGAATATCATCTTTTGGAATATGAATCAAGATTTCGGAAATAAATCACAATAGATATCACTTTTTGAATATAAATTACAATATTGCACATAAAATCCAATTAAGTTTACGAATATTAATAAACAGTTTTCAAATTTGAATATAAATCACAGGATTAATCCAAGAT